ATTGGCGGAGTCGAGTCTTCTACTCGATCCTCGGGCAATGCTCTCGGCTGGAGCACCTCTACATATACCGTGAGTCTAATTCCCGCCTTTCGATTCTATCTATTCCCGGAAGAAAATCTACGAACTGGGAACTTGAGAATATCCTATGATGCGGGATTTCTGACCGTTCATAGATTCGTCTGAATATAGCACTAATTTACCTGCTTCTTTTCAGTTGGCGAGCGCTCGCCACTCGAAATGTCGCCTGAGCAGGTCGAACAATTCTCCAGCATGCGCTCCAGCGTGAAACATCTCACCTTGGGGGTGAGCAAGCAAGCTACGGCTCCCTGGACCCCCACGATTTTCGGCCAGCTGCTGAGTACGATGCCGGCCCTAAATTCCCTGGAACTCGAGCGGTGCACGACGCCTTTCCTGAAGTCAGTTCTGTCCAACTTGGTGGAATCGGGGCGCCGACTGAAGCTCTTCCGCCTCGGAAAGACTTTCCTAGTCGACGAGGGTTTAGTCGGCTTCCTGGAAGCAAATGCAGATCATCTGGAGGATCTGCATTTAGAGTCTTGCGTAAAACTCACGGCCAGAGTTTTCGCTGCGATAAGCAAGTGCACAGCGCTGCGGAACCTGTCGCTTAAAGGGGCTGTCGCTTTGGAAGACAGCCATCTGGATGACCTGCGAGCCCATTCTCCTGGTCTCAGACGTCTCTTCATGGAGGGATGTGACCGTGTGACCGGCGAGGGCATAGACAGGCTCTACGAATTCAGGGAGCTTGATTCGCTGACGGTGGAACTAAGTTTTGAATAGCTACACTCATTCTTCTAAGCTAAGCTTTCTGTCATATCTATTTCGGTAAACCCCGACTCCGTACTGTGCCACATGTCGGAGGCTCCAGCACTGTCACATGTCAGAGGCTCCACTCATCAGGCCTCTCTTTTGATTCCGTATTTAGTAACCATCTTCCGTATTTAGTAATTCATCTGGAAATCTTACTCGATGCCTTACGAACTGTGCCTCTGGGGGAGGGTCAACCTACTGATATATGAGACGACACTTTCTCCAATAAAATCACTGTGGTGTGCTCCCATCTCAAGCTCCGGTTGTCCTCTCTGAGCCCGTACGTGTCCCGCCGATCTACCGAACCTAGCCTTCGACCAATCTAGGAACAACAGAAACCTTTCGCTAGGATCCGTGATCCTGACACAGAGAGGACTCGCGAAAAAAACCGTGCTCGATCTGCGAGTCTCTGGGTTTCTCTGATAGATATCATCAAATTGAGAGATGTCGGAATCGAGAAAGTGCCTCGACTACCATGAAGATCAACTACAACGAGATTCCGAACGATGAACTCATTGACGATATCGATTCTCAAGAACCACAGAAAAAAACTAGCCCGCCCGGAGAGGTTCAAACCCTTGATCAAGC